ATTTCAACGAAGAATACCGGATAAAAGATAAAGTGATGGGCTTAATTCTGTCACCTTGGCACGCGCCATGCTCAACTTGAACCGCGAAGAACATCTGAATGTAAGCGTTCCCACGCAATGAAAACGACCCGGGTCTTTAGGGAGAGAGCTGCACCTTTCCAGACAATCCTGCACTGAATAACCGACACCGCAATCACAGTTGGCTCGGTTGCCTGGGCGGAATTTGATGGGTGACTAGAGCCGCTCTGGGCCTCTCAACTACCACGCTACCTTCCTATATCCTGGCTCGAATAACTCTGTTTTGCACAGTAACGGAAAGACATATTCCACGATAAGCAACTTTACGGGCATATGGGAGGACATCGTCAGCAATGTTCTTTCCTCGTTAGTGTATCTCTCCTTCTCACAATGTAGGGAAAAGGGTTACACCAACATGAGAACGACTTCAGCAGTTCCCGCTCCTTCGTTTGCCTTAAAGGCAAGTGGCACGATAAATCCCCAACACGTGTAGGTTCAATACGCCTAGCAGCGGTGCCCTTGAGCAGCAACATAACGCCTTTTAATAAAGGTACCCTGTAGCGCCTTATCAGGCTGCAACACCGACCGACCCATAAGCCCGCCCCGCCCACAAACGTTCGACTAATGCTGATGCTCGTATTACTTTAATTGCGAAGCACCGCTGAAGCCACTGAAGCAAAGGGATTGACATGAAGCGGCTGCGGTGCTGCATGAATATCTTAGTATAGTGTAATTCACTGCGGACGGTTGGGCGTGTCAGTGCGGCTGCGTTTGGCGCGGTGCTAAACTCATTCTCCACCAGTTGTTAAAACGAGCAAGTACAATACTGTATCATATCCTTCGTATTACTCGTTTTCTACCACTTTTTGTCGCATGCGCGTTTCGACAAGAAGGCAGAGAACGGCTTTGACGGGGTGACACACTCATACTGGCTGACACGCCCAACCGTCCGCAGGAAACTAGAGTGTACATGCAGCCGTACCTACCGTAAGCGATTATGGCTCGATGCCAACCGGACAGTCGTCCAAAACTGCTTTCTGGATCGTGTAGAACGAAGGATTTTTGCAAGTCTTTCCCCCCTTTGCACTTCACTTTCAGTCATTTTCCAACTACATAGCACCCCCATGCTAGCCATAGACGCAGTACACTAGTTATCGGTGCCTTCACGCCTATCAAAGGAAACTCCAAGCAAGAGCGCGCTTTTACCAGGACGGAGGAATTTCCGATGAAAGTTCCAAAGATTCCCATTGAGATTATGTGTCGCCTAGGTTTTGGTCTAAGTAATAATAATAATAATAATAATAATAATAATAATAATAATAATAATAATAATAATAATAATAATAATAATAATAATAATAATAATAATAATAATAATAATAATAATAATAATAAATAATAATAATAAATAATAATAATAATAATAATAATAATAATAATAATAATAATAATAATAATAATTCCCTCCACCTCAAGCTGTGTTCGCATTTCAAACCGCCACATCACTGCATCCATGAAACATGTGAATATTGACTCTGCGCGCGTAAAATCAATAACTATCAAGGAGAGCGCTGGAAACGGTCAGAAATGTAAAAGCAGCCTGTGTGGGTATTTACTACGGACAAGTGAATAAACAAAAAAAACTCACCGTATTCCTCGTCATCAAAAAATAATACGTCAAATAGCATGCTTGTAATAGAAATCCGATTACATTGACAAGAATTACTACGTTATCGTGCTTGAGAACACCATACTGTAACCAAAAAGCACACGAAATGAAGGCAATAAGGAATGGCGCCGATCCGGTACCTTCAGTAGTACCGCGTTCGTGAATCCGAAAACAGATTTGAATTCCGCACAGAAACAGACCGACTGTCGTGCAGATGGCTGACAATGACAAATACGGTAGAATTACATCTGCTATTGTCATCAGTGACCTGCAAGATGAACGAAAGTTGAAGGGGTAAGTGAAAAGTAAAACGCAAAATGTTACGAAACGCCTAGAAAGCAGTAAAATTCCAAGTTAATCTATGTGTACATAAACGTTGAGCTCTCACAGATATTCATGAATGTAAGCTTAGAATTGGCCTGTCTAACCCATAAAAGGTAATTCTTAGATGATGTCAGAGTTGGTCCTATGTGTTTTCCGAAAGCATGGCAAGTCTACCGGTCATGTCATTCAAGTCACACTGGATTTCGCCGCTCGCCGAGATCAGTAGAGCGAAGGCAAGGCCTAATTTCAGTAT